GGTCTTTTCCAACCTTAATGATTCTATGGTACTATATATGTATAATATATAAATCATACATAATATGTAATTTGTTATAAGCCTTAATTATAAAATAAATATAAATATGTATGTGTTTATATAACTATCTATTTAGCTTACTATTAAGGAGGTTGACAACCAATGAAATGCAACAACTGCTGTCTTTTCCTTTAGCCTGTCTCTCACCTAGTTCAAATCATTAGTGAATAGAGGATGAAAAATACACGATTTATTCAAGACAGTTAGTCTTCTTCCTATGCCACAGAATCCTCAAAGGTATTCACAATTCCAAATGATTTGCACATTTCTACAAAAAAGCAAGTCAGTGCTTGAAATCAGCCTACTTGCATCTGGTAAAATACTGGTGACTTTCATGAACACCTTAATTGATGCAATGTAATAAACTTCATGTATATTTCAACAATTTCTGTTTATAATCTCCTAGTTTTGCAGATCCTGACCTCAATCAAAGAGGGGCTGCAGCAACCCTTTGGTTTTCTAAGTCACAGTACTCTGAACTTGGCTGTTCACAATTGCCAAACTTGCCAAAAGTGAAAGTGAACCATGCAGAAGGTCAACATCATATATATGTACCACTTCTGCCAAAAGTGGCTTGTGTCATCTCTACAGCCAACACAGGTCTTGTATACAGGCACAAATTTCATTCTAAGAAAATTGTTTGATGCAACATCATGATTTACACAGTAACTGTCAACAAATAGATAGAATAGGCACAAAAATAAAAATCAAATACATCATTGCAGCTTTCTGTAGCTGTATATAAGCAAAAAACCTGTATTATCTTACCCAAACAATATGGTGCACAGTGTAGATATCACTGTCACCCACGTAAACCCTGATTGCTCGGATGGTGAAGCCGTACTTTTTTCCTGAACTGTGAATTACTATTGGTTGATGAGGACTTGCAGCAGCAATTGATGAATCACGGCTGGGAGATGAATCTCGGGAAGATGGAGGATCAGATGATAGAGAGTGAGGTGACATAGGACTTCCCAAAGGAGAAACACCAAACACATCTGGAACAAAAAAAATCTGCCTATTAAGAGTACGTTCTGAGCACACACTAATACAGACAGCAAACAGGAAATTTGCTGAGTTTTATGATACAATTGTGTCAAAATCTATCATTGTCTTTGCATAAAAACTCTCTCCATTGGCATGTATCTTAGTGGTTTAACCCAGTAGATAGCTAAAACAACCACACAGCTGTTTGCTCAACCCCCACACCCTCCCAGCAGGATGGGGGAGAGAATAGGGAAAAAAAGGTAGAACTGATGAGTTGAGATAAAGACAGTTTAACAGGACAGGGGAAAAAAAAAAGAGAATAATAATGATAATGATTAAGTATCAGGAATATATACGCTCTACCAGATATTAGGAGAAAAATTAACTCTATCCCAGCCGAAACCAGGACAGAAGTTTAACCAATAACCAGATCTTAGAACTATATTACCTTCCCTGTAGCGTAAAGTGTAGTTTTTAACGCAAGGGTTAACTTGTTAGATGTAGACTGCTTTTTCCTTTTGCATAGGAAACACAGTTATCGCTAACTTTGAAAGAACAATTCTCAGCCTCTTCCTAACAAACACTCAGGGAAAAGTAAATCAGAGTTTGGTAGCAGATGTTGTTGTGAGTACACACAAAACCATCCCCCTAGCATGAGTTGGTTTTTTTGTTTCAGTTATACGCAAACTACTGTAATTAAGCCATTATATCTAGTCAGTACATATGACAGTAACTCAGCCAACTTCTACCAAGCCAACTTTCGACCAAGCTACCAAGCGCAACTACCAAGCCTCCATTTCTACATTCTGCTACATCGTGTAAGACCACAAGAATTTCTTGCAACAGTATCAATTACATCTTCATTTTATTTCATTGTTTTGAAAGCATTATGTGCTCATACTTGTGCAAATGTAAACACAATTGCCGCAGCATAAAACACACTTTGGTGACTATAACAGGGTGACAGCTTCGCAAAGGAATGCAGCCCAGAAAGATTCCAGGTTTGGTGTCCATGCCAAGCCATGTCATGCAAGGGCAGATACGCTTTGTCACCAGAGGCTCCCAGAGATTGGTATCACTGGGTTAATGCTGAAATCCCACAGAACAGCCAAGCCCTGAGGGAGCTGTCACTGTCACCCTTTGGGTCTGAAACATGCCCAGATCGCCTGCCCTCTGCTTTCTGCTGCGTGTGGGACATGTCCCATGACTCCTAGGTGCATGACTCGCGTTGGGAACACTGGCCATCTGTTGCTGTAGTTTATTTTATGGATGAACATGAACAAGGCAGGTTTTTTGGACTGTATTAGGTAGACTTAACATATAAGATTTTGGTAGTTATAATGACATAATTTTTAGGCGCAGGCAAAGCTAAGTTTGCATTGTATAGAAGGATGCTGAGATTAAACTGAAAGAAAACCATAGTTTAATAAGCACAGTAACGCAGCCTATGTCATCTCTGAACTTAATGATTCTTACTCAACAGAATAGAATACAAACTGATGAATAACTGTTGAGTGTTACCTGGATGTGTAATTACCTGTGTGCATATCATGCTCCTGTGATATCTAATCTCAATAATTAGTATGCCCTACAGGGCCTATACAAGCAGAAAAAATAACTGTGGTGCTTACTGTTACAGGGGTATACCAAAAAAAGACTTATGACATTTGGGAGAAAAATATTATTTGGAAGAAAGAGTCTACACAAGGAACAAGCCCAGAGTGTTTGCAAGCCACTCGCAATTTTCAGTGTCAACGCGGCCCTGAGCAGGCTGAGCACATGGTCATTATCTTTCTCGTTGTAAAAATAAAATCACCTCTCATGCGTTTTGTGATAATGATCATTTGCATTCAGACAGCATCACAGACATGCTAAGTAGTCTTTTCATCATCACCTAGCTGTCCTCATTCAAGCAGGGGCAAAATACTCCTTTTTGAGACTCAACATGTTCCTTTTGACTTATTGCATTAAAAAAATACTCATGGTTAGCTGCTGCATAGGAAGTTTATGCTGCTCTTTAAACTGTATGGTGAAGAACAGTAGAAAACACGAGGCTAATCAGAAATTCCTGCAGTAAGAAGGATCAGATGGGCCTTTCATCTCTCCAAGGTCTCCAAAACACATGCACAACAGCACAGTGTTTGCTAACCAAGGTATTAAGGAGCACAGAGACACATGTGCTTTACAACCCAAAAGAGTCCAAGAAGAGAGCCAGAACCAACTCTTCAACACTGTACAAGTCTCCACTAGCCTGAAAACTCAAAGCAACCTGCTGAAGTTACTGTCAAAGCCATCTTTGAACATATGGAGCAAGTGCAGGGTTATGTTATCAGACCAGCAGATACTTAAATATTATGCCTAAGATCTAAAAGCAACATGTGGCCAGTGTGCAAAGTTGAGATGTAATCCCACTTTTGGAAAAAATTCTTTGAAGTTTGGGAAATTTGGACTTTGATTCTGAACCACTAAAAAGCAAGGCACCAATGCTTCATCTGGAAACACTCAATACTACTGTTATATTTCCACTTACTTATAGCAATATTTCTGGCTTAAATTTTCAGCATTCTGTGTAAGTTAATGTAGTACAAACAGGAGCCTACATGCTATTTCTACTTCTGTGACACTTCTCTCTGGCGTACCACCTTTCCTTATGGAAGATGGGAGAGAATTAGTCAGGCTGAATCTGCTGCTGTAACAAACAGCTATTCTTGGAGCTGTATAAAGTGAGCTACTTAAAACTTAAGCTAGACCGCTGCTGCAGGACAGGCCAAGGACTGAAGCCTGCATCCTGCTGTGCGTGCACATGGTCAAATACAAAGTCACTGCTAAGCTACATTTTTGCCTATCAGAGAAGGTCCCTCAGCCGTAATGTGACCACTGTAACTCATTGACAAGACTGCACCATCTAGTAATGCATGTGAACAACAGGAGAAACAAAAAAGTGTGACACAGAATCCATTCTGGACTCTCCAATATCATGCATTTACATCACAAACCATCAAGTATGCATAAATCATAACACTTCAAACAAAAAAATTTATCTCTACCTCCTGGAATCATGAGGGACAAAGCACTTGCAGAAAGGGACTTTGTGACTTTTCCAGAGATCTTCTTTTTTTCTGTGCTTTCTAATCGCTGACGAGCCATGTGAGATGCAACTTCACTGGGTGGCTTTGAAGAGTTATCTGTACTGTCCACACTCTCATTTCTTCCATTTATCTGATCTAAGTGCTCTGAAAAACTGCCAACTGTACAAAGAAGGGATAAACACATTGAGGGAAAACTGGGGGTCAGGGAGGGGAAATGGTACAATTATGAGACAGGAATTTTTCTTTCTGTTAACAAGTTCGTAAAACAACATTACAGACACCTGAGGAATTCTCCCAGACTTACAGAATGCATAAATGTTAACAGAATGAATTGAAGAAACAGTTTTTTGTGGTCCTTGACCAAAGTAAAATAAGAGACAAAAGCTGAAGCAAGTCTAGTATCTCAATATGCAGCATTCACCTAAGAGAACTTAATCATGCATTTTTTTCATGTGAACTCCTCCTAAAGTAAATGAAAGGCTCCAATCCCAAATTGCTATCAGAATAACAACTTTTCAAAAATAATTAAAACACTAAACATAATTTTATTTTTAATTATTATCTTTTGGTATTATTCTTTGGGTGGTTTTCTACGACACAGGAGAAAGATAACCGGCACCACTAAAATCAGTATTGCAACCACATTGCTATTAGTCAATCATGGGTAATGAACTTCCACAATACTGAATGGAAGAAGGACAAAAATGTTTCAAACAATGAAAAAAATCCTATAAAGGTCTTGTGTCACATGAACAATGTGCATGGGATTTCTTCAAAAATTCAAAGATGTGACAGGGAAGTTGTACGACCTTATGAAACCGGCACCAAGGGTAGGCTGCCTGTTTAAAGACGTAGCAGTAATTCCAAGTATTCCTTTAAGGTCACTAAATATCCTGTTGCTAATGGACCACAGAAAAATGAAATTGCTCTTAAGTGTAATTGATAAGCAACAGAAGAGTACAAGATGCTTTGAGTTATAACTGACTGTTGTGCTAATGCCAACATCATAACACAGGGCTGGAGGGAGTGAGCGAGACTTGGGATACAGCCCAGTCAAGGTTTTAGACAAGCGAAGGAGATGGAAATGGTTGTACAGCTGGATGAGCCTGATAAAATTTATTTTCCTAGAAATGGAGAGGAGGAAGAGGGAAGAAAATGTGGACTACAAGGGAAATCAGGGGTATGGGAACAGAAAGGGGTATCCTGAGAAAACTCAGTGAGGTACAAAAGACAAGTAAGCTGAAGACAGGTAAATGTGCAGACCAGGTAACTGGAACCTATATATGGACAATCATGAGACTGATATAAGCCTAGATCTGCGTTAAGCATCAGGTCTTCCAACAGTTATACAAAACTCTCCTCTGAAAGTACAAAACCACTAAGATACTAGGGTCCTGGATCCTACTGAAACGCATGCAAATACTTGAGCTGCGAGAGGGATGAAAAAGGAAATAAATGATTTAAGTAGGGAATGGTTTACAACAATCCCTCCTAGATTCCTAATGACAAAAGAGAGAGACAACCCTCAGAGACAACCCTGCCAATTCTGAAAGGTGTACATCATTGAGATGTCTTAATTAAAAAAACACACAATGCTGCAGCACAGTGTTAGAAAACAGCAACACAGATCAGTTGGAATGACTCCAGGATGATCAATCAAAAGATAACCAACTTCAGCAAGGGAAGATACCAAAATAGTGCTTTAAGTCCTCAAGGGATCAAAGACTCCTTTTCTCCACAGAAGGATCCTGCAAAGGCTCTATGGTCAAGTCACTGTTTTATTCACCTGCCTAGCAGTCCTCCAGAATCAGTAGGGCAACACCAGTGTTGGCATTTCAAAAAACACTGAAACATTCCCACATGTATTTTCATGAGATTTTACTAGCTTGAGCCTGAGCCCAAACCAGACCCCTCTTGCGATGTCTTTTTTTAAAGGAAGTTCTGAAATACAGGACTTCTGAATCCAGGAGTGCTACTGGTAAACAAAGAAGGTCCACTACTGGTTCTAATGTCATCGGTCAAGAGACTCACTGTGAATTACCTGATAGCGTGGAGCTGCTGATCGTACTTGCTGGAGTGGTTACTTCAGGTTCGTCTTGCACTATTTCCTCAGTCACAAATGCAGGTTTTTCCTGTTCCTCCCGGGGTCCCACTAAGCTGGTGGAATCATCCTGTTCTCCTTCAGATGATACAGCCAACTTTGGAAGCAAACCAGAACCGTGTCGCTGCCTGTTGCTCTCAGTGTCAGAGGAAGCGGACGTAGATATTTGCTGTCTGCATTAAAAATAAGCGAACTCTCATGTGGTTATTGAGATGAGGAGGCCTGCTACCTGGCAAGCAGGGCATGGACCACTTCCAGCACCTCCTCCTACTTACATTTCAGAATATTCTGAACTCCAGCTTAAAGATTCCACGGAAGGCAATGTTATGCTTTTTGTTTTGTCTCCTGCATCTTCCTTTTCTTCACCTTGCATTTGAGTGACTCGATCTATGCTACTAAAAACCTGTTACAGACAAAAAAACCCACAAAAAACCCAACTCATCACTGACATGTTTGATGTAAAAAGGTATGCAGGAAAGCACATTTCAGGTTCTACTCTACATGTTCTAAACGCTTACGCAGTATTTCAGAGTGCAAACTTCAACCTTCTTGAACTTTTTTAAATTTCCAAGAGCTCGTGTTCTTAAAATGCTGTTCTATTTTGCTTTTTTGGCTCCTCATGTATAAGGTCATGAATAACGTCTCTTCTCATTACGAATTCATCAGCTTTCTCCCCATTTCACTGCATGAACCAAGACAGTACAAACAAAATCCATAGCCTTGGGGTCTCTAAGTCACAGGATTAATGCATGTCTTGGATTAATTCACAACCATAAAGACCATCAAGGTGAAAAAGCCCTGACCCTAAGATACTGACTTGGTATCTACCAGTCAGGTGTGGAAAGCAGAAAAATTAATCTGAATTGACTTTTAAGTTAAGAATAAATTACTTGGATAAAGGATTCAGAAAAAATAAATTCTGATCCTTGGAAGTCTGTTGTTTGCTTAGCTGACAAACAGCACACAAAAATTGCCAGCTGTATATTCTACAGCCTGAGATGCACAGCTAGAAATGCAGTGACATAATGACATTAACAAACCAAACTATTACTGTGGTACAGAGCTTTCCAAAGGACAGAAGTTCACAGAATCACAGAATTAGGTTGGAAGAGACCTCTGCAGGTCATGCTGTCCAACCTCTGCACAAGCAGGGTCACCTAGAGCTGGTTGCTCAGGACCATGTCCAGATGGCTTTTGAAGACTTCCAAGGATGGAGACTCCACAACCTCTCTGGACAACCTGTGCCAGTGCTTGATCACCATCACAGTAAAAAAGTGTCTCCTTGTCTTCACACAACTTCCTGTGTTTCAGTCTGTGCCCATTGCCTCTCGTCCAGGTTAAGTCCAAAGAGACTGCATCATTTACCAGTATCTGAATTTGAAATGCACCATCAAGTTAAAATAAGGAGTTTACACAGAATGGGGATAACTACATCCACGATTCCTGTCTCTACTATTCCATTCTATCACAGATACAATACATATGTGGTACTGCAGAGCCAGCATAGAACCCACCAATTCCTTAAAACACAACCCAGGACAAACAAGATATAAACACAGACTTTCCAAATACCTCCTGAAGTAGGTTAAAGAAACTTTTAAAACAGAAAGCTTTTGAAAATCACTGCTGGATGCTATGTTAAGACACAGCATTAGGCATTCAATTTCCACTACTTCCTGCCAATTTACCCTCCACAGTATTTCCTGAGCTTGCCCACTCTGCCCCTACTGGGGTCTCTTGTCAGCTCTCATCTCAACTACTAAAGTACTACCCTTTGGACAGTCATCTGTACCTTCAATTCACAGCATTCAAATCACTCCCTCAAATTCACAACTCTCCTTAACCAAATCACATGCTAACCACTGCTTTGCTTTTTCCTTTCGGTCTAATGTAATTTAATTAATAGCTACTATAGGCTACTATTGTAATTTTTGTTATGCCACCACCTGCAAGATACCCAGCGTACAACTGGAGCAACATGCAGATGATGTACAAGGAAACCAATGTCAGGAACCTGAATTAGCATTTAACAGAACGGTTTCCCTAAACCTTCTCTTATGCTATCATGAATTTTCGACAGAAAATACCAACCTATTTATATAATTTTCTATTCCTTTCTTAAGGATTCAAGAAATAACCTTCCTACAGAATCTTCCCATGTTTTGATTTAATGGCATGCGTTTCATTCTTGCTCAATTTCAGTTAACATTTCTTGAAGAAACAAAGTCTTATACATCTCTTGCATATCTAACATTTCCAATCTCTGTAAAAGTAGAAAATATTTATTTATACAATACATACGAACATTACAGCAATTTTTACTTACTTTTGAAAATCTGTGTGAGCATGAGGAAAACTGTCTTATCTCCAAATTAAAATCTTCATCATTGGTATCATCTTCTTCCTCAGTTTCCATATGGTGGTATTTCTCAGAACGAGCTACAGACAAGGGAAAGAAAGTATTTGAATTTATCAGGAAGAATGGGTACCAAGCTTTAATACTAACCAAAAGCATAATTTTATTCTTAAGATTATTTCTGCTGAAATGTCAAACCACCAGTGAAATTGAAAGCTGCCAGTGGTTCTGATAAAAGAGATTTTCAAAGCAGTAAGCAATAGTCAAAGGCAGTGATTTCAAGGTGTTCACCACATTTTTTAAATACCATCAAACACCTACTGTCAAAATAACTGGTGTCATCTTCAGACTCCAATTGTGGAATAAATTCTGCTTTCTGCCTCAGCAGACTATTCCAGTCAAGGCTCCTGAAGAACTCATGTTGCTTTACTTCATATGCACCACCTGGGGGAGCCAGAGAAAAACACTGAGTAAATTACACCAAATCCTCTGACATTAATTAAACAAAACCCCTGGCCAAAAAATGCAAATTATCATGGCAAGGTATATTCATGACTATAGGCAGGAATATCTACTATCCATTTCTACTAGAATCTCCTAAACTTGTGAAAGCACCTCCTCGTTCCTGTTTTGTTGTTGCCATTTCTTTAACAGTGGTGGCATTGCTTTATCATCTTCCCCCTTTTAACATTTCTATTTTTCTGGATATACTAATTATTATCTGTCAGTTATATATTAGTCACAAGCGTTGGATGTAGGAGGAGTAGTAGTCATCAAAATATAAATGTGTACTGGATGAGTAAGTACAAGTTAGAAAGTAATGACGAATGATTCTTAATAGTTGCCTAATAAAAATACCATTGCTGATCAGGAGATCCTTCTGGTGTTTCATGGAGGTAATACACAATTCTACTGGAAATACCTTCTTATTTATCTTCTCATCGATTATGGCCTACTTGTTATAACGTGTTAAACAATTACACTAGTTTCAAGTTAAGAAAAAACTATAAGAACACAACAAAATACGGGAATTTTTGTCCTAGGGAAGGTCTGCAAGGATGTTATTAATAAGCCTAAATCCAATTCTAAACACCGAACAGATAACCTGCAGCAGCAAGAGTTACTGACAATTTGACTGCACTGGTGTTGTGTGGCACGGTTTTGGTAGCAGGGGGCTGCAGGGGTGGCTTCTGTGAGAAAATGCCAGAAGCTCCCCCCAAGTCCAATAGAGCCAATGCCAGCCAGCTCCAAGATGGACCCACCACTGCCCAAGGCCAAGGCCATCAGTGATGTTGGTAGCGCCTCTGGGATAACATTTACAGAAGGGTAAAAAACTGCTGCACGATAGCAGCCAGGAGAGAGGAGTGAGAATATGTGGGAGAGACAGTTCTGCAGACACCAAGGCCGGTGAAGGAGGGGCCGGAGGGCTCCAGGCTGGGGCAGAGATTCCCCTGCAGCCCATGGTGAACACCACGGTGAGGCCGGCTGTGTCCCTGAAGCCCACAGATGTCCATGGTGGAGCAGATCTCCACCTCCCGCCTGTGGAGGACCCCAGGCCGGAGCAGTCTGTTCCTGAAGGACTGCACCCTGTGGAAAGGACCCAGGCTGGAGCAGCTCATGAAGAACTGTAGCTTATGGGAAGGACTCATGTTGGAAAAGTTCATGGAGGACTGTCTCCCATGGGTGGGACCCCACGCTGAAGCAGGGGAAGAACGTGAGGAGGAAGGAGCAGCAGAGACAATGTGTAATGAACTGACCGCAATCCCCATTCCCCGTCCCCCTGCGCCGATCAGTGTGAGAGAAACTGGGAGTGAGTTGAGCCCAGGAAAAAGCTGGGGGGTAGGGGGTAGGTGTTTTTAGACTTGTTCTTATTTCTCATTATTCTAGTCTGCCTTTAACTGGTAATAAATTAGATTAATTTCCCTGAGATGAGTCTGTTTTGCCCATGATGGTAACGGCTGAGTGATCTCCCTGTCCTCATCTCGACCCATAAGCCTTCATCATATTTTCTTCCCCTGTCCAGCTGAGGAGGTAGAGTGATAGAGCAAGCTTGGTGGGCACCTGGTGGCCAGACAAGGTCAACCTACCACATTGATACAGCATGTCAACTTCCTTTTGCCCAAGATAACTCAGGAGAGACCCACAGAAAAAGTGTGATGTCTGCAGGACTGGTCTCTAAGTCAGAGTGTCAATATTTCTAGGTTGGGTTCTTTGCTTTTCTGATTGCACTGGGGAAAAATTCATAAAGGCCAAACTTCCCCAAAGGAAACCAAAACCCACATCTCATTGCAAGTCACTAGCCAAGGAGTGAACATTTCTCTGAGCACAGTAATGGGATATTACATCAGAATTATGTAATTCTTGAACAGTATTAGACACTTCAAACACAAACAGGTCTTTTCTCTGTCATTTTCCTTCTTCCAAAGAAGTATAGTAGCCTTCTCTCTTCCTTCAACTTGACTATGCCACTCAGGTCTCCTGAGCAAATACACAATCACGATTTTCTTGGAGTGTTATGCAGTTAGCTAATACGTATTAAACAGATAGGGCTGTCATTTGAAATGCATGGTGGAGCCTGGGATAAATCGTGCTGTTTTCCAGTGCCCTTGTGGGATCTCTCACACTGCAGCCTCCATTTCTGTGAGTTGCTTCCGCCACTTCAAAAAAAAACTTTTTTGTGGTTCCTGAACACCCCTCTGTGCTTCAAAGAAATGGCTGCCTAATTTCCTTCTTCAGACAGCCAGCTCTTGAGAGACTATGAACAGTCAAAAGATATCAGCCCCTAAATGAGCTGTACAGATGCTCCATGTGGTGGCACTGACCATTACAATAGTTAAACCAGCCTCTCTCTAGCCAGTTCACTTTCTCAACCAACTGTAGCAAAAGAGGCAGAATTTGCAATCTGCTTCTGATCCAGCCTCTCACAGGGTGATAGTCTTGAATTAACACTGTGTTCATTCTGGCAATGAAACAACAATGACTGAAAGGAGTATACTTAAAATAAAGGAATGGAACTATAGTTGTGGCTCTTTGTTTTGCCTTTGACAGCAGTGCCCTTTGCAGCAGATGAAGCAGGCAGCGAGTGGAGAAGCTGACTGGGGCATGACATAAATGCACGGTGCTTTCATTAGCCTATGCAGGCTCACTGCTTCTAATACCACGTGCCAGGTTCTTCTCTCAAAATGGAATGAGCACAGCACTGAATGACCACAGTGGAATAAGCTGTCAGTTTGTGTTCTCACTGATATCCATTTACTTCTTTAACATTCAGACTTTTGGTTTTATTCTTCTTCATGCAAGGCAGTAGTTCTTGCTGAATGAGAATGACAAGACCTTTCACAACATAACCTCAGACAGTAATTTCCGAATAATTAGTTTGAGTACTCATCACCCATCCTAAAGCCTGGAGGAACTAATTTGCTAGGCTAAGATATTTCTGAAAAAGAAAGCATTATCTGTGTATGATTCCCCTTCTCTAGTTCTGTGTTTAGTTGTTTAATACTGTATTCATGAAAGAACCCCATCCAATGGCTAACCGGGTCTTTGAGAAATTCCTGTTTTTTTAATCAAATTAGAGAGAAGAATAAATGCGAATGGCCACACCAAAAAAAAGACGGTCATCACCTTGTTAAGCTCGTATTACTAGTCCGAATCTATAAAATACCCTCTGCTACCATGGCATGTTGTAATGCTACTTGCCCTGACAGATGTTTCCCTGGCAAAACAAAGGTGAACAAAAGCTCCCAATGCCAAATAGAGAAGCTATTTCTAGCACACTAAGAATTTAAAATAGTGCCTCCTAACCTGTTCCCAGTCTCTCCAAAGGATTCTGCCTGAGCAGCAGTGTAATCAGATCCTGGGCATCTGGAGGTGGTGCTTCATCCTTTTCAGGCCAGTTGATTTCATCTAGCAAAACAGAAAGTTGTTTGTTATTACAGAAGTCTGATCCCAACATTCATCAGAAACTGTGTGAATGCTCTCATAGTGGGCTAGCAGTAAAGTCGGAGCTAGGGCAATTTTTTCAACAGAGAGCAAGTTGCTCTCTGTTGCATACCAATTACTTGCAATTTTTATACTCTATACAGACTGCATAAACATATTGTTATGTTTCCATTTGCCTTGGAAGTATCCTTTAAGCCAAAACAGTGTTTAACAACAGAATATAGGAATGCTTGGCTCATGAAAAACTATTGTGAAATATTAGCACAACTTGTATGCTGTCCATTCTCCCTGCTCCCTCAAGATAATGGTTTAAATTTTAGTTCTCTTCCATGGAAACTGCTGTTAAGACGGACACAGCTGACCTGACCCAGCAGTCACTGCTCACATCTGTAATCCTTCTCTAATGCCAGTAGACTCACTGAGGTCATTACTCCCACCACTAAGGGCCAAGGTATTGGACTCTGCTCTGGAGAGATAAATGCCAATGGAGCTTTTTTCCAACCGTCTCAGACTTCAGAGGAAAAACCACCTCACTCTACTGATTCTGATACTATTAAGGCTTGTTGCACTTCATAGCAAGTTGGACCTAAATCATGGAATCAAGATGTTAAATCCTTCAGTATTCAGGTAAGGCTGAATAAAAATTCTACCTGACGTTCATTTAAAATAACAATGGAAAATTGTGCCAGTTTCAATATGAACATGAACTTTGTAACAGCTTACACAGCAAGTTTTGTCTGATTTTTAGCAGAAGCTGTCTCCACAAACGTAATATATTGCAGGTTTAGACAAAACTCTGAATAAGTTTCTTGGGAGCTACAAGGATTTTGGCATCAGAGAAACAAAATTCTAGGAGCTCAGGAAATACAGAAGGCTGTTAAGGATTTTGTTGTCATTATATGACCCAGAATTTCCTTCAAAATGATTATGATTGGAGAACTAATCATCAGAAGCTACAGGCAAGTTTAATCTTTGTATTTCAGAGTTTAAGGAAAGGTACTTAAACAGGCATGAGATGTAACCTGTTTCTGGAGCATTAATTTCAACCCCAATTATTCTAGGCATCTAAGTTTACACTAAGGTGTCCCACAGATGTACTCATACAACTTAGGGGCAGGAAAGGCAACCTACAATAAAGGAGTGAGGGAAAATGAGGGGGCAAGATCTTCAAGTAGATTTTCAAATAGAATGTAGACTTCACCCACAGAAACTGGAATAAAAGTCTAGGCTATAACTTGGGTTCTTTAACATGGGTTTTACAGTTGAATACAAGGGGAACATATGTTTTAGCACAGGAAACATCCAACAAAAGAGTTCTCCTGCAGATACTGATAATAAGAATTATTTCAGTAAGTAAGGATATTTAAAATAAAAGAGAAGAAGCTGGCAAGTTAACATCAGAACAAGAAACTAAGCTGATCAACAGTCTTGAAGAGTGAGTGGGAATAGATCAGGTTTACAAAAAAACTGCTACAGATAATTTCTGGAAGATGAATGGACACATTCAAACAAAGTTATTCACATGAATATCACCTAGACTGTAACACATGACAATTTGTTTTACAAAATGTAAAATTAATGCCACACACAAAATAAATTCTAAAGTTCAAATTCTGTCATTTTAGACTACTGCCTCCCCTCCTCCCAGTCAGAGAGCATAAGGATAAAAACACGTGCATGTGTCTGGAAATGCAATAAAAACATGAATTATTTCCATGTTTGCCTGCATACAGCTTCCACTGCAGTTTAAATCTGGTTTGGAAAATAAAATCATGAATATGCATTGCAGCTGTAAGGCATCCAGAACAAAGCCAGCATTTGCTGCTTGTGTTAATTAAACAGTTGATTTTCCTTGCCACTCAGGTCTCAGCTATCACATCAGGAAACAACATGGTTATAAATCTATGAACAGCTAGGATGTTGTATAAAGAGGTCATATACTAGAGGCAACTCACAAATCCATTTCATTACAGTTTACAAACAAGTTTGACTTCCAGCTTCAGAGATGGTGGAAAGTGAGATGATGACAGAGTGTCTCCTTAAGTGCAAAAGGGAATTTGTTGCATCCTCAGAGAATAAGGAACCAGAGTTGTGGTTAGTTTTGTTTCTGTTGGATTCTTTTTTTGTTTTCTTTTTGGTCTTAGCTACTGGACCTTTTAAACAGACCATAAAACAGACTGGGAAATACTCGGTAACAGAGGTGCCATTCTGTTAAACTTTTGGCATAAATAGAGGCCCTCTGCCTCTATGCATCTGGTAAATTTATGGAAACAGCAGGTAGGATAGTAAACAATTCTGTTTAATTATCATTCAGTTTTACCACAAGCCACATAACAATACTTAGGGTCAACTTGCAGGTTAAGATCTAAAAGGTTATTGAATTTTAAATGGAAGAAGAACAGCTGCTACAGAAATAACATTACACGACAACAATCACCAATGAAATCATTAACAATCTGTGAACTGAATTTGTCTCCTTCTCTTTCTCATTATTTATTATTTGGGAGACATTTGTTTTAGGGGTTTATTACATCTTTGTTAATTTCTCCATTGAGCCATGAGGCGTTTTCCTACTTATGCAAATGTATTTTAACTGTTTCTTCATAATGTCTTTACTAAATCTTTACGGAAATTTCTTTACTGAAATCACTGTGCCATAGTGGCACTACTTTTCTACTATTACTGTTTTTCTTTTTCAAACAGTGCAGCTTAACCATTGTACTCTACATTACTGGATTTCTGTATTTAGCAACAATATACAGTAAGCTCAGCTTTTAATCCAAATTTATTCTTATTGGTTTGACAGCAAATTGCATATTACAATATTAAAATAATGGCGTTTTTTTGAGCGAAACTAGCTTGAAAACCCAGTCTATCAGTAAAGTTGTAAATATTTTTTACTATTAACAGAAATTGAAATGTTTCACAGCAAGCTAAGAAATCAGTTGGGTTTTTTTTGTCATGATCCTCACCACTGATTACTTGTCCAAATAGCTCTTCTGGTGTATCTCCAAAGAATGGCACACACCCAACAAGAAATTCATAAAGGATAATTCCCATAGCCCACCAGTCCACTGGTTTTCCATAACCCTGTCTCAGTATCACTTCAGGAGCTATATATTCAGGTGTACCACAGACCTAAAAGAAAGAAAATAAGCATGATGGTGAAACAAGTCTAATTGAGCTACATCACATCATCTATAATTCTTGAAATGTAAAATAATATGGAAAGGTGGAAAAATGGAATTCAGTAGGTTTTAAGTCTGCTGAGTTTGCATAACAGCTAATGTTTTTAGAATGACCTAGCTATACCTACAGGCATCATAATGAACATTTATGTACCTGTCATGCAAAGAACAGTTTGCATTTTGTACATGCGAGTCCATCACAGCAAAGATTTTATTTGACTTAAACATATCCCTATCTTTACATGAAAGTTGTGATGGTTTTATCTTAAGTAACTTTTACAGTGAACAGATTGTGAACAATGGTAATGAGGCATGCTTAAAGGGAAATGGGCCATAGCAAGGATTTTAGCATCCTTCTTTGTACAATGCATCATGAGCTCCACAAGTACTCTGCTGAGACTTCTGAATTCCTTATAAAAACAGTTTTCCATTTGTCTCTCTCACAGATTCACTTGCACACAATTAGGTTGTTCATCTTACTAATAGATCCTAATGAAAGAAGAAAAAAGCCTAACTAGAATAATCTGCAGGGCATCAGTAAAAGTAACTGACCTACACAACTGGAACACCAATGCAGAAATAATTACAATTCGTACAGTGTTATGGTACATTCTGCTGGCAAAACATCACTTCATTTGAACATTCAAAGTAGAAATAAAAAAGGCTGTGTCTTACTTGTTTGTCAAGGAATTCTCTGGCATCCTTCTCAATGTGACCCTCATACAGATTGGTAGTCAAACTCATTAGCCCCACCTTTGACAGGCCAAAGTCTGTAAGCTTTATATGGCCCATGGATGTTACCAATAAACTGAAAATCAGAATGATCTGAAGTTACTGTGATATAGTGCAACAGTACGTGCTTATTATTATTATAACAATACTTAGGAGAAAATGTTTCATTAGCACTGCAAAAATAATTTAACCAGGTACAAAATAAACAGGTTAAAAATCTGAAAGTCTTACATTTGTTACTAGTATTATCAGATGTATACAAACTTCTTATATGCAACTGCACAACATCTTATAGAACCATACAAGTATTGAAAGCTTAATGCTAGATGCTTTGAAGAAAAAGAAACATTCATCATCTTAAACACCTAAAATAGAATAAATGTTGCTTTTGAAGTGAGGTGAGCATCTTCTGTCTGTAACAAGCTGGGTTCTTCTTTTCAAAACAACTCACGTATTAAGTTAGTTATTAAATACTACTACACTTGCTTGAAGTATCATACTGTGAAGGTATTGTCACTCAACGGACATTAAAAAAAAAACAACATAAAAAAACATCTAACAGGAAAGATTTCCCAATCTGGTCAGTCTTGTCTTCATATATGCAAATATAGAATCATGGAATAGTTTGGACTGGAAGGGCACTTAAAAGGTCATCTAGTCCAACCCCCTGCAATGAGTAGGGACAGCTTCCACTAGATCAGGTTGCTCAGAGCCCCGTCCAACCTCACCTGGAATGTTTCCAGGGATAGGGCATCTACCACCCCTCTGGGCAACCTCTGCTAGGGTTACACCACCCTCATCATAAAAAAAATCGTTCTCAGATCTAGTCAAACTGCACTCTTCTAGTTTAAAAACATTACCCTTTGTCCTGTTGCAACAGGCCCTGCTAAAAAGTCTATCCCCATCTTTCTTAGAAGCCCCTCTTTAATGACTGGAAGGCTGCAGGAAGGTGTCCCCAGAGCCTTCTCTTTTCCAGGCTGAACAACCCCAATTCTCCCAGCCTGTCCTCATAGGAGAGGTCTTCCATCCCTCTGATCATTTTGTTGGCCTCCTCTGGACCCACTCCAACAGGTCCATGTCTTTCCTGTGCTGAGGGCTCCAGAGATGGATGCAGGAGCTGAGGCGAGGGGCAGAATCCCATCCCTCGACCTGCTGGCCACGCTGCTTTGGATGCAGCCCAGGATACAGTTGGCCTTCAAGGCTGCGAGTGCACATTGCCAGCTCATGTCCAGGTTTTCATCCACCAGTGCCCTGAAGTCCTTCTCATCAGGGCTGCTCTCCATCCCTTCATCCCCCAGCCTGTACTGATACTGGGGGTTGCCCTGACCCAGGTGCAGGACCCTGCACTTGGTGTTAAACCTCATGAGGTTCACATGGGCCCATTCCTCAAGCTTGTCCAGGTCCCTCTGGATGGCATCCCATCCCTAAGGCATGTCAACTGCACCACTCAGCTTGCTGTCATCTGCAAAATTGCTGAGGGTGCACTTGATCCCACTTCTGTGTCATTCATAAAGGTATTGAAGAGCACTGGTCCCAACACAGACTGCTAAAGGACGCCACTCACCACTGATCTCCATCTGGACATTGAGCCATTGACCACTCCCCTCTGGATGCAACCATCCAACCAACTCCTCATTCACCAAACAGTCCACCCATCAAATCTATCTCTCTCCAATTTAGAGAAAATAATGTTGTGGGGGACTGTGTCAAAGGCCTTACAGGGAGACAACATCCATAGCTCTTCCCTTGTTCACTGCTGTGGTCACTCCATTATAGAAGGCCACTAGGTTGGTCAGGCAACTTGGCCTTGGTGAAGCCATGCTGGCTGTCTCGAATCACCTCCCTGTCCTCCATGTGCCTTAGCATAGATTCTAGGAGAATCAAGTTGATGATACTCTGTATTAAACAGTGTTTTAAGCATACTTTGAAAAATCTTTTCCTTAATGACCAAAATGCATTTATCTCCATTTCAGCCAGAAAAGTAAATTTTTTTTTAGCTACTCCAATACCCTCTTACATCTTAAAGACATAAAATTTTAAAGAGCTCTTTTGTAAAAAATGCATTTTCTGTAACTGCAGGTAATGAAAATTCAAATATTGTGCAGAAATTGTGACTGTACGTAACATTCACAATAAAAAAAATTTCAAAAACATTCAAAGCAAGTCTACACCTTTCATATTTTGTCTCACAAATTGAAAGTCCTCTTTTGGTTATATTCTATATACATACTTGTCTGGTTTCAAATCCCTGTGTACAATTCCATAATTATGAAGGTATTCCAAGGCGAGAACAGTCTCTGCAAAGTACATCCTTGCCATGTCTACAGGTAAGGGACCCATATTCTTCATCAAAGTAGCACAGTCTCCACCTATGGAAACATGACAAATGCTCCAGATGATGCTATAAATTCTGAGGTTTATCAGTATAATCTATATATGCTGCAGAAGGAGAAACAAACTGCAGTCATAAATGTTTATCTTCCAGTCAGATGGCTCAGTTGAACATGTAACCACACGCCAACTATTGTGCTGGAAATACAGCGTGAAGCTGGGAGATAGCAGTACAAGGGTTCCTCTGGAAACCAACAAAGCCTGTGCTGCTACTTAAAAGAAACAAA